TGGGTGTATCAATAACAGGCTCTCCCTGTAAAATGGCATTTTGGTGCCTAGATCTGACACTGCATGAGATTTTTGTTCAGCTTCAAGTTATGATGCATTTTAGTTACCAAAAAAAAAAACAACAAACAACAAACCACTTTCCCCCCGGATTTTCTTTCTTTTACATGTCAGTTTTTTTAAATCCTTGAAGATCAGTGCATACGCTCTGTAATGTAGTTCTCAGGTGAGAAGCACAATAAGAGGATACCAGGCAAAGGTGTCTCTGAATTACTTCACCCAGCCAGACTTGGCCATTGACATTCTGCAACCGGCAATTACTGTGATGCCAAATCCACCAGTTCCCCTTCTTTCCCACCTTGTCATTTCTTCAGACATCCTTGCAAGAGCTTCTGAGTGTGTGACCAAAAGCGCTATTAGAACTCCTGAAATAGAAATCTTCCATGTATTCCTCCTCAATGGAGGAGGAATCACAGAATAGTGAACGGACGTTATAGACACGTTCCAACCAGCCTGCCATGGGCAGGGACACTTTCCGCTAGACCAGGTTACTAAAAGCCCCAAAAGGTGTGTAGTTTTGATTCACTGCATTGATAGCTTCTTCTTTAGACTAGACAGACTTTGTGCTACACTTTCCAGAAGAACTGTATGTTGCTATACAAAGTATTTCTTTGCTTCAGTGGCTAAATTAATTTATTCAGCACCATCATCATATGTGCCAATATCCACTGTATGAGCACACTTAAAATTATTATTATGCTCACTGACTTATGAAATATAAATTATCCAAAACTGTTATTTTCTTATCAGGATAAGGGAAGGTTATCATTCTAAATACTTTTCAAATACAGAATATACTTTTTTTTTTCCAAGACTTACATTAACTACACTATGTTCTGATGGATGTTAGTTTATTTTGGCAATTTTCCCTTAAATTGATTGAGTTTAAGTTTCCATCACTTGTGATCTTTGCACTTCCTTAAGTGTCAGTAAGGCCAGCCAAATATAACCAGTGTAACAGACTACAATGTGTCTGGAGAGATTTTTAAGGTAAGGATATAAGACTGATTTCAAAACTAATCATCTCTATACTGAAAAAAATGAAAATAAACTATTTGAGAGATGGTACATCATAGTTATTTTACTATCTAACTTTCTTGAAAGACAGTATTTCAAGGCTTATGTGTGATACAACAACAGGTAACTTATCTGATGTAATAAATTTAATACTTGTTTAATATGCTTGTTTGGTTTTTTTTAAATCCTTTTTTTTTTCTTCCAGAAATTTCAACAAAAAACACCATTTGGAACTTACATATCTCCCACTATTAATAGCACCTACTATATAATTTCAATAATCACTCTTACACAGAAAAATGCATGGGAAAAGGTATAAATAGTAACGTTCAAAACAACTGAAAATCTTGTGACATATGCATATCCAAATTTTGAAAAGGAACACCATGTAGACCTCAAACATGGCCAACAATTTCAGCTGTTAACTTGTTTCCTGCAAGAAAAGCTCCACTAAATCTAATTTCTAACTGCTTGGATAGATGTTTTCCTTTGAGGGATTATTACTGTAATCATGAAACAAAAAGATTTAGGACCTTTACAACAAATGATCTGAAAGAAGTCAAAAAATTGTCCACCCTGCCAGTCAAGAGGGAGAATGGAGTGAGACGGCTCTTTGACATCTGCTCCCTGCTTCCCTTCAACCTATAAACAAGTGCCTATAGGTAGGGCATAAAAAAAGTGCAGCTCAGGGACAGGCTGTTGCTGCACCAGGGAGTCCAATTTTTGAATTATTCTTGTCACGGAAACAGAGAACAGCTGCTTGTACTCTGCATTGGTGAGGCCACACCTTGAGTATTGTGTTCAGCTCTGGGCCCCTCAGTTCAGGAAGGACATTGAGGTGCTGGAGCGGGTCCAGAAAAGAGCAACGAGGCTGGTGAAGGGACTTGAGCACAAGTCCTATGAGGAGAGGCTGAGGGAGCTGGGGTTGTTTAGTCTGGAGAAGAGAAGGCTTAGAGGCGACCTCATCACTCTCTTCAACTACCTGAAGGGAGGTTATAGCCAGGCGGGGGTTGGTCTCTTCTCCCAGGCAACCAACAATAGGACAAGGGGACATGGGCTCAAGCTCTGCCAGGGGAGGTTTAGGTTAGATGTTAGGAAAAAATTCTTTACAGAGAGGGTTATCAGACATTGGAACGGCCTACCCAGAGAGGTGGTGGATTCACCATCCCTGGAGGTTTTTAAAAAGAGATTGGACGTGGCCCTTAGTGCCATGATATAGTAACTGGAGTTGGATCAGGGGTTGGACTTGATGATCTTGGAGGTCTCTTCCAACCCTACCTATTCTATGATTCTATGATTGACTGATAACAAATTAGAGAAAAAAACCAACACAACTACACCACAAACCAAAACATCCCCTATAGACCTTTACTAGACAAGCCATCACTTACAAACTGGAGTTTTACAGTGTCGCAGATAGAGAAGGTCTACTGGATTTTATGAATTAGCCTAGGGGGTCCTCAAAAGTTTTTGTAGACCTTATACTATATCTTAATTAAGAAACTATCTCATATCTCAATCATGGTTGTATAAACATCCCTTAGCAACTACAGAAACAGTTTTTGTGGGAAAAAAGATGGCATTAAAAGCAAAGCAGAATACTTTTCTATTTTTTCTCAATAAAATTAAGTAGCTAGAAAAGAGGAACACAGCCTGAACTAAACTATCGACCCCTCTCTGGACCACCAGAGTGTTCCACAAGGCAATCTGGGAACATCTGACCTGGTCCATCCTCCTAGCAATCAATGATTTGCCTCCTATAAAAATAATTTCTATGCTTAGTTCTTTTATTTTTAATTAATTTTGATGAAAGCTGATACCAGCTTTCTTTATACTTTAATATCTGGAACTAATGCTAGAGCTTGCCCTCACAGTAAGACCTCCAGCTGAAAAATTAATTTCCCATTAAGCACTTTTTCTGCAGGGTGAACATTATGAAGTTATCTCATGAAGTTTATGCACCAAAAATAAAGCTAAAAAATGGTGAACTATGAAAAAAAGATTCCTGGTTATTAATCATTTGCTCCCATTTCATTCAGGAAATAATAGAGAAACAGTAGTAAAAATAGATGTGTAGGGTACCTGAATTCCACAGAAGGTCTTGAATCCAATAGTTTTTTTCTTCCTGATTCTCATCTAATATAGGGTAAGCTGTGGTCACATAATTTTAAAACTATTTGAGACAGTGACAGATGAAGAGATATAGCTACAGGTCTATTCCTTAATTAAGGGTTTTTTTAAACTGCATTCTGTCAAGGACAAGATAAAACTGGAAAGCAGATGCAAGATAGAAAACTCAGAGATTAAATCACCTGTTTTTTCAGGATAGGTAAGAGAATAAAACAATGTTATTTCCTCTTTCTTCTTTATGATAACACCTTTAAGATTTTCCTGTTCAGAGTCTCTCAAATCTTTAACTAGAACTACATCGTATCATTACCAATAACATCAAGAACTTCAAAAGGAAACTCACTACTAAACATTTTCTACTGGGTAGAAACCTACCAGAGAGATGAAGAGAAAAATATTATTTACCCCAAAATGACATGGTGCTCAAAGACTAGGAAATCTGTGTTACATGGAACAACTCTCTCTGTGACTAGATCATCCTTTGTTTCAGTAACCTAAACTTCATCAATACATGTGAAAAAAAAATCATATTTCTTGGGTTTTAACATGAGAATTATATTTGTATCTTAAAGTAACTTAGGAATTAATTGCATCTTAAAGTAACTTAAACAAATTAAGACAACGGTTTCTCCTATTAATGAGAAAAACAACAGGGCTTGAGAAAAGTCAGTGTTGTAGTTTTCCTCTTTAAGCTATTTGAGTTACGTTATTCCTGTGCTGTACAGCTGCCTACCACTAGGTTAAATTTGGGATTGAAAATTCGTGGTAAAATATACCATTTCAGACAAACAGATTGGTGAGAAATTAAGGCAGAAAATGCATTTAAAAAAATGCGTAGTTTTTTCTGTTTTCTTTATCTCCCTTTTTCCTAATTCCCTCTCAAGAAGCCTCAGAGCACTAAAAAGTCTCATGATAAAGGAGTGACATTTCCAAGGGCTACGATATTATAGCTGGCTATGCAGTTCTGGATCTTCATTATAAATATGTACTGCATCTTCAGCCAAATGAATCTAGTTGAAAGAGGAAGCAAGATTTACACTAAAAAGTGAAAAACCCACAAACAACAAACCCCCTACCAAATACTGTAACAACAGCAAAATACCCTAGCAAACCCTTTTAAGTATGATTATTTTTACACATTCTTTGAGGAAAATGTTGTTGTAAGATAACTGTGATAATTCCTATAGCTACTTAAAATAATGTAACATATGCTTCTCCTTTAAAGGCAGCTCACAAGCTCAGTGCATGATCTCTACACCCGATCACAAGCCCTGAACTGGAAGAATAAAACCCACACATAAACCTGGAGGAAGATGCATTAAAACAAAACAAATAGGTACCTTATGCTAATATCTTTTAATACAGTAAAATTCAGTTCCTAATAGGCTTTATTTGTAACGTATCCTGTCTGCACATGTCCTACAACAGTCCACACTAATAAAATTATAGGCTAGTTTTCCATAGAGTGCTTGCCTCATACAGGTAAGTGGCAGGTGCAAAAAAAAGAAATGGATAGAATTAAGTTTCATGGGTAATCTCAAAACTGAGAACTGGACATCACAATTTATTTTTCCCCTAAAAAAAAAAATAATATATTTTGGGGAAAAGAGCATTAAACATTTTTTTTCCAGGTAATAGTCTTCAGCTGTTTTTCCTCTCTAGTCTGGAAAATACACACGAAAACCAGCTGAAAGCAGCTGATATATTTTCCTTTGTCATAGTAGCAATAAGAAGGTTTAAAATAAGCATGGATTAGCAAGGAACACTTGGACTGTAACAAAAGAGTGAGAACTTACTGTCTTGCTGATGTAATTTGTGCTGATGTTCATACACTGGAGTCCTTCACTATTGCAGCAACCTCCACATCTGTAGATGGATACACATGGGGGTTTAAAGAAGGTGTTTGTAGTTGCTCCAAACTCTTTTCCCACATCCACACACACTTCACGTGGCATGCACTGAGTTTTTCTCCATTCAGTATCAATACCTGCCAAGTTATAGGGAATGTCATGTGTTATAAAGTAACTGTTGAAAAACAATACTCTCCTGAAGTAAATTAGGATTCTTTTTAAACTTTGGAACCATAATATCCATTGCTAGAGTCACACCCCATAGTCAGTGAAATACACATCTCTCTGTGTTAACTCCTACCTGATTTTTCTTCTTCATAGGAACATGACATATTGACATGCAGCAGAAGAAAAGTCACAGCAGAACTAAGAGGGACCCTAACAGGGAGACCTTAAAACACAGAATCATAGAATGGCTTTTGTTGGAAAACACCTTTAAAGGTCACCTAGTAAAGTCCCCTTGTAATGAGCAGGAACATCTTCAACCAGATCAGGTTGCTCGGAGCCCTGTTCAAACTCAAATGACCTTGAATGTTTCCAGGGATAGAGCATCTACCACCTCTCCAGATAACCTGTTCCAACGTTTCCCTACCCTCATTGTAAAAAAAGTCTCCCTTATATCTAGTCTGAATCTGCTTTCTTTTAGTTTAAAATTATTACCATTGCTCTATCGCAAGAGGCCCTGCTACAAGACATCTCTCCCCATCTTTCTCATAGACCCGCTTTAGGTACTGGAAGGCTGCTATAAGGCTGCTTCTCTCAGCCTGTCACCATAGGAGAGGTGCTCCAGCCCTCTGAGCATCTTCACAGCCCTCCTCTGGACCTACTACAACAGGTCCACATCCTTCTTATGTTGGAGGCCCCCAAGCTGGACACAGTACTCCAGATGGGGTCTCACCAGAACAGAGTAGAGGGGTAGAATCACCTCCCTCAACCTGCTGGTCAGCAGCTAAAGCTGTACATGTCCTTTCTCGTTTGCCTGGGGTAAGTCTTATCTTGGGTAAAGTCTAAAGAAGTATTGCACATCTCTTCAAAGTAATTTTGAACAGTTCCACAAAGTACTTCACGTAGACACTCTACAATAGAAATGTTATATTTTACACACTTAATGTGAAATTAATTTAAATACATGTTTAGTTTGTTAACTGCAAGGGTAATATTTAAAGCAAAAGGTTATTATTTAGCAAATACAACATGTGATTTAATCTGAAGCATGATACTTGTGCCCAGATTATCCACACAAATTTGAGCAAAGATTTTACATCTTGTAAAATCAGCCTTTTACCAAATCAGCCTTTTACCAAATACAATCTTATACTGAACAGTCCTGAGACTTGCAGCTGTGCAGGACCCTTTATTCTCTTTTGGCACTAGATTATGGTAGGCTATTCACCAAAAATGGAAAATTTGCCTGATGTGTACTTTAAAGTCTCCATTAAGATATCCAATATCACATAAAAAAATACACCTCCTGCTATAAGTCCTACATTTCTCTGCCTACAAGTACTTGTTTAAACTGTTAAACTAATATATTTTAATCCAAGCAATCTGAAACACTAAAGGATATTGACATATTGGGTTGAAAGCTCTTTTTTTCTCATTTTAGCATAACATCATGACAGCTGCCCTCTTGTAACAGGGAAAAGTTACAAGTGGATTACTTGGCATCCTAAAGCCATAATGCATAAGAGAAGAAAGCATTACTAGCCATGATGTAATTGCAAAAAATGTGCAGAAACACTTCAACAACTTCAATGAGCATCCCCTTTGCTTTCTGCAAAATTTTTACAGCCTCCACAAAGTAGGATTCCTTATACCTGAAGGCAACCACTTTACCTACTGAGCTGAGAAAGCAACTTTCTCACAATGAATGTACCTAAAATATGTCTACAGAGCTATTTGTTTCATTAATGGAATGCTGACCATCAAAGATTTTATATTATAGACAACATATCAAATTAGGCTGCTGAGGTTGGTTTACTGACAATGGTTAGCTTTTAAAATGTTTTTGACACAACTGAAAAGCCTTCAGAATTTAATTTATTGTGTGTTGGTTTGTGTCCTGTACTTACTTTTCAGGATCTCTGCATTATAGTGTGCTGCGGCAAATTTCAGGGAATCATCTGATCTTGTGTCAAAGCTGGAGTGTTCCCTGTTGTGTTGCCAACCTCCTTTCCTCAACTGACATTTGAACATTTTCCAGTATTCTGGGTAAAGTACTGTCATGAGTTCATCCACACTGGACACAGACCGCAACTGCTCTTCCAGGTCTTTGCTTGCATGAGCCTGTCAAAGTAACATGCAAGATTAATTACTTTCTCTATTACACAGGGTTTGCTGGAAACTAGCCTGAAAAGCAACTCATACATTGTAAAATAAAGTCATGCTCAAAGGGGTCCTCATTATAAAAACTGCTTCCGTTAGTCAATGCCAACAGTATGATATTGACAAATACTGAAATGTTTCACTTCTGCCACTAATTCTTTATCGCACTTGTGGCTGAAAACATCTTATGAGAAAGGAGCTATAGAATTAAGCCCACACAAATACAGTTTGCAGATTAAAAAAATAAAAATGCATTTTTATCCTGGAAAGATAAGTTTTCATGATAAAACTTTAAATGTTCAAACCCCAAAATATTTAATTTGTGTTAACATTATTTAATATTACATACTCCTAAAGTAACACCAAATTTTTGCCCATTTTCCCTTAGTTCAGGAAAATCAAAACAAGCAGAAATGCAAAAACAGTTATTAGGAAAAAGAAGAAAATAATTCATGTTATTTTGTACCTTTTTAGGAAAAATCTTAGTAAGAAAATTGTATTACAAAGCACTAATCCTTAAATCAGTAGGAGTCAAAGACTTTGGTACCTTTAAGAATCTAAACCGTACACTCCCTCAATGCTGAGTTTCAACTGAAACTCATCAGGCCTCTAAGCACTACACTCCTCAACTTGCTGTTTCAGGGGTAGCCTCAAATCCTGTAATCTTACTTTCTTATTCATGGGCCTTTACATAAGCTCATTGAAATTGCAGTTTTCTAGATGACTGAGATTTACACTCCAATTTATCACTTATCTGGGAGACTCCTCTGTCCTTTTAGATGAAACAATATATTGCATCAAAGGACTGCTGTTATTCCCTGCCCACCTTTCTCATCCATGAATTTCTGACTTCCCAAACAGAAGGGCAGTAAGAAGTATTGAAGAATGTTTAGCCACCTTCTCAGTCTCCGTGGCCCTTAGATGGCAGTATGAGACACAAAATATAGAGGTATACTTTGTACAAAGCATATCAACTGGCTGCAGACTCTGTACAGTTTACTACAAAACTGTTCTAATCAAAGAAACACCTGGCTGTAACAGTGTAAGATGTGTAAGTGCAGAAACATAAAACTGTAGAAACTGAAATTTAAGACTCCTTATCTGACTTCACTATTAACAAAAAAGAAATTCTTTCCATTCAATGATTTTGAACATTATGTGAGTAAAATGGCTAGTTCTGAACTAGTTCACCTGAATCAAAACTGCTCCTTGTCTCATAAACAACTATAAGTGTACAGAACGGCACGTGTGGTTGCGTCCATTCCCTTATCTGGTGTCAAATACAGTAGAAACACCTCAGGGTAAGGCAAATTTACAGAACTCATTTCTGTACAGTTATACACAGAACTGTGAAAGTTCTGAGGCACCGGAACAGGTGGGCCAGAAAAGCTGTGGATGCCCCACCCCTGTGTGTTCAAGGCCAGGCTGGATGGAGCTCTGAGCAATCTGGTCTAGTGCAAAGATGTACCTGCCCATGGCAGGGGGGCTGGAACCAGATGATCTTTAAGGTCCCTTCCAACCCAGGCCATTCTACGATTCTAATTCCTATTTCAAAGTAATTTTATATGACAAAGTGTTACAAAGTTAGAAAAAATGTTTTCACTAAAGCCTCACTAACCACAGTGTCATTGCAGACTATGTCCTGGGAGGTTTCAACAACCAATTTGTCATCTCAGGAAAGTGATCATGCAGGTCTTGCCTCCACTGGGTCATCCCCGACCCAAGCCATGCATGAAGCAATATCTGGGGTCTTTGCCTTCAAATTTGATGGCAACACAGAGCATCTCACTCCCTAACACCCCTCCACTCCTTGCAGGATGTCATGTAGGGTCTCAATTAGTGGGTCACAGACAAAAATCCTAGCTTAACAAATAACTAATTTGGCTACTATCTGCTTGTCCTGAGAGGTGAAAATCACAGGATTTGAGTAGCCTCACTCCTGCCTGAGGGTGCTGCAGCACATGTCCCTTGACGGAAGCAGGTAGCTGCACCAGCACAGTAAATGCCAGTGTGGCAAATGCATGTTTGCCATGTGATGGGAATATGCATGGCACAGGAGGTCACAGCATGTATATCCTGTCACAAGGCTGGATGCCAGTCTATTATGTAAAAGGCACAGGAATAAAACCTGTGTTTAGACATCTAGTAGGCAATCCTAGGAAGCCCCAGCAGATCATGGGGGTAACACGGAAGGAGAATCCAAACGAAGGTTCACCACCTCTGATGAATCCTTTAAAAGCCTGTGTAGCCCACTGCAGACAAAATGTTGGCTATTGCTGTTTAAGATATTCAAGATACAGGCCTAGAGCATCAGGAAAATAACTACTGAAACTCAATATTACTTAGCTGATAAGAAGCCAGGGCATGGAGCAGGAAAAACAGAGTATTTGTTAGAAATAATGCATGCTGATGAATTCCTCTTTGGTCAGGAAATCAAGTCATGTCTTTTCAGCTGGATGCAAAATTTGTTATACTTGTATAAAATATGAAAGAATAAAAGTCAAAACATGAAGAAACTAGTTGCTTTACCTAAATATTGTATTGAATTTATTAAAGTATTGTTTTACTCTGGATATTCCACAGGTTATAGTGCCATGTGCCTACAACCTGAGTGGGGCAACCCTGGTTGTGTATATAGACTGGGGAACAAGAGGCTGGAAAGCAGTGCCACAGAAAGGGACCTGGGGGTCCTGGTTGATGGCAAATTGAATATGAGTCAGCAGTGCCTTGGCAGCCAGGAGGGCCAACCGTGTCCTGGGGGGCATCAGGCAAAGCATCACCAGCCGGTTGAAGGAGGGGATTTTCCTGCTCTGCTCTGCACTGGTGTGGCCTCACCTTGAATATTGTGTGCAGTTTTGGGCATTGCAATATAAGTAAGATATTAAGCCATTAGAGCATGTCCAAAGGAGGGCAATGAAGATGGTGAAGGGCCTTGAGGGAAAGACGTATGAGGAGTGGCTGAGGTCACTTGGTCTGTTCAGCCTGGAGAAGAGGAGACTGAGGGGAGACCTCATTATGGTCTTCAACATCCTTATGAAGGGAAGCAGAGGGGCAGGTACTGATCTATTCATTCTCGTGACCAGTGACAGGACTCGAGGCAATGGCCTGAAGCTGAGTCAGGGAAAGTTTAGGATAGATAACAGGAAAAGGTTCTTCACCCAGAGGGTAGTTGGGCACTGGAACCAGTTCCCCAGGGAAGTAGTCACAGCACCAAGCCTGACATAGTTCAAGAAGCATTTGGACAATGCTCTCATAGTGTGACTCTTCGGGCCGTCAGGAGTTGGACTCGATGATCCTGATGGCTCCCTTCCAACTCAGTGTATTCTATGATTCTATGAAGTACTCACTTAATATGAAGGAAAACAATTTCTGAAGCAGATATAAAATTAATTTTAAAAAAAATCATCATTATTGCATCTGAATTATTTTGTGCTTAGTTTAATAAAGCTATTTGCTTTTAAAGATGGCTTCAATTCAAATTTACACTGTGGAAAACCAACTTAATCACTAGTAGACTTTTGTTATGTCCCCTCTTCCAATTCAGAAAGAAAGGGAGAAGGAAATCCATACATCTATACTTAATACAATACAGCTGGTGCTCAGAATTAGGGAAAGAAAAAAATAGAAAAAATACGTTGATTTTTCAATATGCTTACAGCGTTACTTTGACACGCAAATCACAGATCTCTTCCTATATGTATATGTATTTTTTAATTCCAGTAAATTACTCTCATCTGTGACAAACTGTTTAAATGAACATTTTTTTAAGAAGCTTGTGGACTGATTTCATTTTAGAACAGCCAAATTTTTGTGTTGACATAAACATCAAACAAAATCTTAAGTTCTGGATGATTAGAAGAGTGTGTCCTGCATATAGTATAAGCATCAGATCATTAAGGGTTGTTAGAAAGAGTTTCTAAATTTCTAAGAAAGGAATAAATCTGCTTCTGTAAATGTAATTGTTTGACAACATTTTTGATTTTGTGCAAGTTTTGGTTAATTTTACAAAGACATACTGTCCTTGTACATATCTTTTATTCTTTGCTCTTTCTTAATTATGCATTGGCTTGTAGCGTAGGACACGGGATTTCCATTGCAAAAATTTTGAGACTTCAACACCTATTTGGAATATATGACAAGACACAAAGAAAGTAACATCCACAAAAATGTACAGCAGATCAGAGGAGCTCTAATTTTTCATTCATTTTATGCAAGCCCAGATTAGTTAAGTTTAGAAAGAAATATGGTTTGTAGCTGCAATTCCTGTCACCAAGGTACATTCCCAAATGTTAAGTTCAAAGGGAAAAATAAAAGGTAATATAAAATGAAAGCTGTGATAAGAGAAATTATACAACTTTTAGGACCAAAGAAAGCTTTTTGATAAATGTAAACAGTCTGTTGATTTTTACATAATCAGTTACAGTGCACTCCTGATGAAATCCTGGACCAACTGCTTAATGTTTTACTGGGATCTATGTTTGACATCGAGCAGGAAGCAGGAAACAGTACCAGCAGTGACTGCACAAGAAGTTTTCTCTATCCTATGTTTTCTATTTTCTTTCCTCTTTCAAGTCAGCTAAGGGACTAGGCTTTGTGACCTTTTATTTTTTTTTTCTTTTAATCACTAACCCTCCCTTCATAAGTGTTTATCTCAGTCCTTTGGCCATTTTACTGTTTTTGTCACTTCTAGCTGTTATCAACACTGTCCTATATGATCACCTAAAAATGTTAGAAGATAAATTCTAAAGAAAAACACTGACTAAACCTTTAACTAGCCAAACTCTACAAGATGATAGATGATAATAATAGCTTAAAGATACAAGAATAAATGGAGAATACAACTGTCATTTGGATTTCTAATGTGGCTCAAACTGCCACAACAATAAAGACACATTTACTTAATTTCACTTATTTCACATTATTTCTCAAGGAACAGTGGAAATGACAAATACACCTATAAA